AACACCCTCTGTCCCCCATTTAACGGGACTGCCTTCCTATGTGCCACTACCATCTACCCGGTCTTGCCCCCCAACTGGTCAGGGTCCTGCATTCTTGTCATCCTCCTCCCCGCCATTGTAATAGCACCTGGTAACCAAAGCCTGCCTGTCCCTTTAGTGGGCTCCTCAACATCATGAGTAAGATGGGCAGTTGAGCTCATACCTCTGCTGGTGGGGCTGGGTATCACCGTGGCCATGGGAACAGGGGCAGCAGGGCTGGAGTCCTCACTTCACTTCTACAAGCAGCTCTCCTCCCAACTGATCGAGGGCATACAACAGGTGGCAGACACAGTACTAGACTTACAAACACAACTAGACTCCCTGGCTGACATGGTCCTCCAAAATCGACGGGGACTAGACCTACTAACAGCAAAAGAGGGAGGAATATGCCTGTTTCTTAAGGAGGAATGTTGCTTCTATGCCAATAAATCAGGAATAGTCAAGGACAGAATTAAGCAACTACAAGAAAATCTCCAAAAACGAAGAGAAGACCTGATCGGAGGCCCATTCTCAGGGTGGTGGCAACCCCAGCTCCTAACGTGGCTTCTTCCTGTTCTAACTCCACTAATTGCTATATTTATCCTCTTGTCAGCGGCTCCATGTGTTTTTAGGTTTCTCCAACAGCGCCTGGCAGAGCTCTCTCGAATAACGGTCAACCAATTACTATTACAGTCATACTCGCCCCTTCCATCCGAACCACCTCCGACCCCATACCAGCCTTAATTACTTAACAACTATCAACCCGTTATAATAAAATCTAGGGTTATAACAGCCCATAACAACCCAATTTTTATCTAATTTTTTTTTTAAGATATGTTCTCTTCCAGGTTCTCTATCTACCTCCACAGTCTGCTTCAAGACAGCTGGCTGCTACCAACCTCGTGCCCGCTAGAGGAGTGACTGGAACAGTCACCATTCTACATCTACAGGGACCTTTATAGAACTCTCGCCTTCAGAAATCTTCACCTTCAGCGCTTATCTCTGGGCCCTGTTCTGGCTGGTTCTGTGCCCTTCCCCCACCTCACCCCACAACGCCCACATCCAGCAGGAAGCAGCCAGAAAGAATAACGACGCCCCTCTCCCAAATAAACAGAAAAGGTGGGAATGAAAGGCACAGGAAACAGCCAGAAGGATGTCTCCCAAGATGGCGCCAACACTAGGGAACCTAACAAAGACAACAAAGGCCGTAAATTCCTGCCTCTCCCGTGCGCGCGAAACTTAAACTCATGTACAAATATTATCTCCCTATAGGAATACTACCTCATAGCTCCCTCCAATAAAGACCCTAAGATGGCTCTGGCTGGCACGGCCAGGCTCAGAGAGCACAGGCCGCCCCCTCCCAAAACCGATAAATACAGACCTCTCTCTCGCCCTCCCTCTCTCACTCCCTTTTCCCACCAGGTGGTTACAGACCTCCTTCCCTCTCCCTGTAGCCGCTGCTCTAATAAATCTCTTGGCCTCAAAGGGTACCGAGTCTCACTGGCGCCATCGTCCTTCAGCCAGGTCTTGTTTCTTATCCATCCAGCCACTCTCTGCCTTTCAGTTGGAGAATTGAGTTCATTTACATTCCATGTTATTATTGATAAGTAAGGACTTACTTCTGCCATTTTGTTGCTTATTTTCTGGTTGTTGTGTAACTCCTCTCTTCCTTTCTTGCCGTCTTCCTCTGTGGCTAGGTGATTTTTCTCTGGTGATATGTTTTAATTAGTTTCTTCATTTTTAGTGTGCCTACTGTAGGTTTTTGCATTGTGGTTACCATGAGACTTACAAAAAAACTCTTACAGATATAGTAAATTAGTTTGAAGAAATGACAACTTTTCTTAGAGTAGAAACAAAAAAAACCAAAAAAACCTGTAACAAAAAAAACCTGTATCAACTTTTCTTAGAGTAGAAACAAAAAAAACCTGTAAAAACTTTTCTTAGAGTAGAAACAAAAAAAAAACCTGTAAAAATTCTACACTTTATTTCCTTCCCCTTCACATTTATTTTATTTTATTTTATTTTTATTTTTTTTTTTTTTTGAGTTGGAGTCTCACTCTGTTGCCCAGACTGGAGTGCAGTGGCCCGCTCTCGCCCACCGCAGCCTCGACCTGCTGGGCTCCGGCAATCCTTCCTCCTCAGCCTTCCAAGTAGCTAGAACTACAGGCACGCACTACCACGCCCGGCTGAATTTTTTGATTTATTGTAGAGATGAGGTCTCGCTGCCCAGGCGGGTCTCGAATCCGCAGGCTCAGGCAATCCACTTACCTCAGCCTCCCAAAGGCGCGGGATTACAGGCTGAGCCACCGAGCCTGGCTCCCCCTCACATTTAACTCTTTTGTCTCAGTTTACATATTTGTATATTGCCTGTCTCTTAACAGGTTGTTGTAGCTATTATTGTTTTTGATAGATTTGTCTTTTAAACTTTGTAACTACAGGTATACGTGGATACACATACCTTTATGTACGGTTATAGTACTGGAGTATTCTGGGGTTAGTTTTGTACTCAACTTTACCAGTGAGTTTTATATCTTCTTCAAATGTTTTTCTTTTGAATGTTAGTGTTTTTTCTTTCAGATAGAAGAACTCCCTTTAGCATTTCTTGTAAGACAGGTCTGGTGGTGGTGAATTCTCTTAGCTGCTGTTTGTCAGGAAAAGACTTTATCTCTCCTTCATATCTGAAGGATAGCTTTGCTGAATACAGTACACTTGTTGGCAGTTTTTGTCTTTCAGCACTTTGCAAATGTCATCCCACTTCCTCCTGGCCTGTATGGTTTCCACCGAGAAGTGCATTGCCAGATGAATTGGAGCTCCTTTGTATGTTATTTGCTTCTTTTCTCTTAATGCTTTCAGGATTCTTTCTTTGTCTTTGAGATTTTATCTGCCTTAGGGCAGTCTTATTTAGGTCAGTTCCATTTTGTGTTCTCAACCTTCCTATACCTGGATATTTATATCTTTCTCAAGTTTTGGAAAGTTTTCTCTTATTATTTATTTAAATAAGCTTTCTACCCCTTGCTTTTGTTCATCTCCCTTTTGAATACCAATAATTCTTAAATTTGGTCTTTCAAGGAAATTTTTTATATCTTGTTAGTAGCTCTTTATTCCTTTTCAAATAGCCTGTTTTTGAGCTCACTGATTCTTTTTCTGCTAGATCCATGCTGCTGTTGAGAGCCTCTAATGAATTTTTCAGTTCATCAAATATAGTCTCAGTTCCAAGATGTCTGTTTGAGTTTTTTAATTATTATTTCAATCTTATTGTTAAATTTTGCTGATAAATTTCTGAATTGATTTTCTGTGTGATCTTAGTGATCACTGAGTTTCCTTAAAACTGCTATTTTGAATTCTTGGTCAGAGAGTTCACATACCACTGTCTTGTTAGGGTCAGTCACTGATTCCTTGCTTTGTCCTTGTGGGGAGGTTATGGTTTTCTGTTTGCTGTTGTTTCTCGTAGATGTACATCTATGCCTTTGCACTAGAGGATTAGTTATTTATTTCAGTCTTTTCTGTCCGGCTTGTTTTGGTGTTTATTGGGTATGATTGCTTAGAGATTCTTTATAATTTATCTGTTGAACCTCTTAATTTTTCTCCCTCTAAGCCACTTCCTGCTTTTGGCACTAGATGGTGCTTTAAGCCCCGGTTTACCTGTGTTCTGTCAAAAGATCATAACACTACCCAGCCTAGATGGGGGAGGGGAGCGGTCCTAAAGAGAATACCCCAACAGTGGGGGAAGGCTGACCGGGGTTTTATGCCCAGGGAACCCGTGGAACATTCCTACAGCATGGTGCTGCTGAACCACTACTCTGATTTGCCATCTCCTATGACCAAGTTACAGAGCAGAATTTTCAGGCAGGAGATGGCAGTCCTGACACCCCACTTTGTCTCTGATTGTCATCAAGGATATTTCTCCCCACAGGCACTCTCAGTGTTTCCTGTGAGTTGAGGTAGGAACCAGTCTCCTGCCAGGGAACCCAAGAGGTTGGGGAAAATGTTTGTCCAGCTTGATCTCACTTTTTTTTCAGTGTAGAAACTATGTGTTGGGGGAATTTTCTGCATGCTTGTTCTAGGCAGGCAAGCAGGATGGACATCGTGAGTGTGAAAATCTGATTCTCTTACCACCTGCTTTGAGTTTCTTAACTTCTCTGTGGCCCTGGGCTCTGCCTAATTCTCATATTTGAGTTTTGGGATATTGCTGGTAATAATTTAATGTTGTATATTTGGTTTTCGTTTTCTAGGGGAGGGCATGGGTAAAGCCAGCTTGCTTCTATGCTGCCATTTTTTTATGCATGTCTTTCTTTTCTTCAGCTGGTTTTGACTTTATAATGCTGTTCAGTTACTAATTTAATCATTAACCATTTTGGTTTTAAAAAGTAAACTTCTAAGCCAGGTTTTAAAACTGGAGCTGACGTGCCTTTCTTTGTACAAAGATACTATTAGGTACCACGAGTCATGATGCTTTCTCTGTAGTGGGGGATTTTTCTCATCCATTTACATCATCCCGGTTCCCTGTCCTTGAGGCTTAGGGACTCCTCCAACCCCTCCATTGTGTCTGTGTATTCGCTGTGTGTGTTTTTCTTTGCTACCGGACCAGGGCATGTGTACAATACTTGGTGTAAAGATTGCATGTTTACATGATAACTCATCAGTGTTGAGTATCACCTGGGTGCCATCAGTTCAGTTCTGAGGACCTGGTTCTCAACAAGGGATGGTATCATCCCCCACCCCCAGATATTTGGCAATTTCTAGAGGCTGGCATCTAGTGCGAGTCTAGGCTAAGGTTGTTGCTCACTTCCTGCAATGCACAGGATAGCCTCCCCACAAAGAATGAAGTGGCCCCAGATGCCAGTTGTGCCAAGGCTGAGAAACTGTGACCTCAGCCTAAGAAATTATTTTTAGGAATCTCCTTTTGCAATCAACTGGGCTGGTTTTAGGCATTTTTAGGCAAAGTTGTTAACTAAACATTTTTTCACTCAATGTTTCACAGGATTCTTGGAAAAAAACAATGATCTCCTTTACAGACATCTGAAAGAGGTAAGTCTGAAGCTTAACTGTGTTTCTGTCAGTGTTGAAATACCACCGGTTGCATTGATTTAGGGGTAGATTTTGCTTTCGGGATTCTTCTTTCTCACGCATTGTGTTAGAACTCCAGCATGTCATAGCCAGGACGGGCATTCAAGGTCATCTGTGTGAGCACTTTACTCAACAGAGGCACTTGCATGTGTGTGGCACCCCTCCTGGGAGCCAGCTCTGGGATTCAGCAGTGAACAGGCAGAATCCTTGTTCTCTTGGAGCCTACAGTCAGGGGTGTGGGGAGCAGAAAAAAATATGTGCATAAATAAGTTATCCGGGGGGCATTTTAAATTTAGGTGATCAGAAGAAACACCTCGTGGGGGTGACTTTGAGCTGAAACCTGAATGAGACTGATTTTGGCCGCAGAAAGATCAGGAGTGATTCCAGGTGAAGGTACTAGCTTGTGCAAAGACCCTGTAACCTGGATGAGAGCTAGTGAGAGCCCCAGGGGGAGAAGCCCACAGCAAAAGTAAATATTTTGTTCTGGTGTAACAAGAATACAGTGGAGTGACACGACTTGAGGACCCAGAGAGGCCACAACTTGTACACAGTCATGTCATGAGTGGCACTGAGCTGGGATTGCCCCCTGGGGCTGCGAATGAAATTCCCAATCTCTTTCCATATATCTCTTCAATCTGATAAACTTTGAGTCTTTAAAGCCTGTGTTTTTCTTGTTGTTGTTGTTTGGTGGTGTTTTTTGTTTGTTTGTTTGTTTTGAGTGAGAGTCTCACTCTGTCACTCAGGCTGGAATGCAGTGGCACACTCCCAACCATTGCAGCCTTGACCTGCTGGGCTCAGGCGATCCTTCCACCTTAGCCTTCCAAGTATCTGAAACTACAGGCCTGTGCCACCACACCCAGCTAATTTTTTTGATTTATTGTAGAGATGAGGTCTCACTAAGTTGCCCAGGCTGTTCTAGAACCCATGGGCTCAGGCAGTCCTTCCAAAGTGCTGGGATTATAGGTGTGAGCCACCACGCCCGGCCAAAGCCTGTGTTTTGTATTGAAATAGTTAACTGCTCATGTTTTGAAATCGGATTTTATTAGCTTGGTGTATAAAAAGATAAAGCCTAGAGGCAACATTTTCAGAGTGAACGGGCAAGCAGTTCAATTCAGGATGTTTTAGCCTTCCAGCACCTTCTCTACCCTCCCAGGATAGCTGGTCCCAACCTTTTGGGATACAGGGTAGATCTGTGATTCCTGGCTTTCCACCCACCGGGTAGCTGCCCTCTGGGTGTGAGTCCCAGCTTGACTCCTCTGCTGCAGGGACCCTGCTGCAGACTTGCCTAGCAGCGAGGAGTTCTGATCAGATGCCTCCCCACAGAGTGGCTGTGAGCGCCACCGCAGTGGAGGCCTCCAGTTAGCGGAGGGGAGAAGGGCTCCTCCTGTGGCTTTCCCGTCTGGGGCCACACCATTTGCTCCACGGTCCAGTGCAGGGAAGGTGCGTCATGCAGGGAAAGTCTCTGGATCTCTCCTTTCACCAACCGTGGCCAGAGTTCCTGGGACTCTTTATGACTTCAGATGGATCGCTTCTTGTTATTTTCTCTCCTGTCTGCAAATGACTGTGCCATGTCACCGTAAGTTTAGAATTGGGACGGGTTAAACACACACACAAATTCAACGGAAAATTGTTTTAAATTTTGGCAAAATATATATAACAAAATTCAGCATTTTAATACATTTTAAATATGCAGTTTGCTAGTGTTGAGTATGTTTACACTGTTGTGCAATTCGTTTCCATAAGCCTTTTCATCTTGCAAAACTGAAACTCGGTATCTCCTAAACAAGCACTCCACATACCCCTGTCCCAGCCCTGGCAACCTCTGTTCTACCTTCTGACTCTAGGAATGCAGCCACTTTTGGCCCCTCATGTGAGTGGAATCATATAATATTTGTCCTTTTGTTACTGGCTTATTTCACTTAGCACGATGTCCACAAGATTCATCCATGTAGTAGTGTGCGACAGAATTTCCTCTTGAAGGCTGAATAATATTCCATGGTATATACACAGGGAAAACATTTTTGGTAGAGAATTAAATTTTTTAAAAACTAAGGACTTCTAGTAATGTAGATTTTTTTAAAAACATGTGCACTAGGAATGGGAAAACTCAAACAATGCAAAAGCCAATGTCCTTGGCCCCATGTCCCCAAGTCTCTCCCCTGAGAGCCAACTGCCTTCCCAGTTTATTGTGCCTCCTGCCAGGAATTGCACAGACCAGGACGGGGGCATGCGTACCTCTCCTTCTTCTCTCTTTTTACACAATGATAATGCACTTTGCATGTGGTTCTTTGTCTTGCCACTTCACACCACTATCTTGGAGATCCTTCTTAAAGAGCTGACTTATTCTGTTGCCACCACACTGAACTGGGGACAACTTTTGCTTCATCAAGTCAGAGAAAAACAGCGTCAGCAAATCGACACAGCAGTGGGGATAGCAGAGCATTTTCTTCCGTATCTGAGCGTGTTCTCCCTCTGTTCTTATGTTAGGGATGTTCCAAAGTGCTTAAGAAGCAGATGGCTGTGTCACCTCGCACGCGCCTCCGTGAGCCTCCCCGAGGCCCCGTAGCGATTTCTGAAGCAGCGAGCCTGGCGCTCATTTCTCTCCACTTTCAGGTGCTGTGCAGGTCCAAGAACAGCATCCTGAGGGAATGCTTCCTGGTGGCTGAGCTGGAAAACCGGAGGAGGCCACCCACGGTGAGTGGGGAAAACACTTCTGCAACCGGAAAGGGAACAATTACCCAAGGGGCGAAGTGACCACCAGTTACCCATGCCTTTAAAGCCACCCTCCCCTTTTTCTGGAAGGATCATCCTCCAACAGAGCCTGCTAAATAAATACTTTCTGGGCTTAGCTCCTGTGTGTTCATTTGCAGATGTTCACTAAGCACCTACAGTGTGCCAGGCACTGGGGTTTAGCAATAACAAGTCAGACAAAGTCCCTGCCCTCAAGCGGGAGAGGGAATAAAAAAATACCATCAAGTAAAGAATCTACAATGCCATAGGAGTCATGAAGGAAGTATGGCAACAAGGAAGCACAGCGAAGGTGGCAGAGAGTGACAGGCTCAGCAGCAGTGCCAGTTTCTTCAAGGCACTCAAGGTGTATCTGCTGAGCAAGTGAGGTATCTTGGCAGCTGGTCCAGCATCCGTGTGACCAGAACAAACGTGGTCTGCTTAGGTCAGGACATCCAAAGCCACCTCTTAATGGTCAAAACAATAACAAGCAGGACAGCATGTCAAGAGTTTGGTGCTGCGGGCCTGGAGCCTTGTGTCCTGGCTACTCTTCTCTGTATTCACTGGACATAAAACTATTCAGCTCACTTTTTCTCTCTGCAGGTGGGGACTCAGTTTAAGAACAGTCTGAGCAGCCTTCTGGAAATTCTCATCTCGAAGGAACCCTCCTACATCCGCTGCATCAAGCCCAATGAGAGGAAAGAACCCAGTGAGTTGTGAATCATTCCGAACACTGAGCTCAGGGAAAAAAGTCTGGGAGGCAAACCCAAGAAGGCCAAGGATTGGAGTCCTAAAACCCACCACAGCTCACACAGTGAGCAGCACAGGATCAGATGTAACCAGGTCCACGCATGCTTGGGTCTTTCCACAAGGTCAGACTTTGACTGATGCTGTCTTTTTTTTTTTGAGTTGGAGTCTCACTCTGTTACCCAGACTGGAGTACAGTGGCTGCTGCCAGCCACTGCAGCCTCGACCTGCTGGGCTCCAGCAATCCTGCTGCAGCCTTCCTAGTAGCTGGAACTACAGGTGCACGCTACCACGCCCGGCTAGTTTTTTTTATTTATTGTAGAGATGAGGTCTTGCCAAGTTGCCCGGTCTGGTCTTGAACCCACGGGCTCAGGCAGTCCTCTCACCTCGGCTTCCCAAAGCACTGGGATTATAGGCTGAGCCACTGAGCCCGGCGATGCTGTCTTAATCATAAAAGCCATGAGCCACATGGGGCTCCCAAAGAGGCAGTTCTCCTTAGTATTTAGTTCCCATTCACTCAGGGCCACAGGCCCACAGGCTCCAACCAGTCAGTCTACAAGTCAGTCCATATTGCAAACCATACCTAAGAGTATACTTCCTGTATAAATGTCATGGATTAAGCATTCCACAGCCAACAAAGTAATCTTTAACATCAAGAGAAAAGGGGATAGGAAGAAGGGGTTAACCCATCGGTCCAAGGAGAGTGACGTGGACAGGGAGAATGTCCTGGCCCCATCCAGATGGATGTTGGCCCCTTTCAAGGAAGAGCCTTTGATGTGAGCAGAGCCTTTGCTGGGTGCCGACCACAAGCAGCAGGAAGAGGGGGTTTGTCGAGGTGTCGCCTGGAGCTGGGAAGTCCTGCTCTTTGCATGGCCCCAGAGTCCTCTGGTGGGGTCTGGCCATGCAAGACTATGCTTGGGTATGTCCTTATCTTGGTGGGTACAGCCTCTGTTGATTAGGTGAACATCCAGCCCCCGTGGACGTGATGAATTTTGAAACGTAACATGGTGTTCCTGTGTCAAGGGTTCATTGCATAGCGTGCTTGTTGTCCTCTGCGTTTCTGAATAATAGAAGTAAATGGCTGGGCTTGGTGGCTCAGCCTGTAATCCCGCGCCTTGGGAGGCTGAGGTGAGTGGATTGCCTGAACCCGCGGGTTTGAGACCCACCTGGGCAACTTGGCAAGATCTCATCTCTACAATAAATCAAAAATTAGCTGGGCGTGTTAGCGCACGTCTGTAGTTCCAGCTTCTTGGAAGGCTGAGGCGGAAGGATCGCTGGAGCCCAGCAGGTTGAGGCTGCGGTGGCCGAGAGCGGTCACTGAACTGCAGTCTGGGTGACAGACTGAGACTCCAACTCAAAAAAAAAAAAAAAAAAGTAAATGAATTGGGGGGGTTCTTTGGGTGGCTCAGAGTGTGTGTTGCTCAGAGCTTGGCCAACTCCAGGAGTAACACCGCTGAGCAAGGTAGGTGCCAGCGGAGAGGGGAGAGAGCATCGCTTTTCTCCAGCCAGGGGACAGTCTTCCAAATGGTCCATGACTTGGGTGTTTTCTCTTCCCATTGTCTCCAGTAAAGCTGTGTGGTCAGAGTCTTACAGCGGCCAGGCAGCAAGAGCAAATGAGTGAAGCAGACTGGGCATAAGGTAATAGAGAGTGGACAGGACTGCAGTAAACTGGGGAGAGGGCACATCCTCTCTAAATGGACGGCAGTCCTCCTCTCTTCCAGCCACCTGTTGCCATGTGGGACTCTGGGCCCACAGTGACCATATCTCGTGATTTTTCAGAAGAAACCAGAAAGGTGAATTTTCCTATAAAAGCCTTCCATTTAAAGAACCCATTGAGACCTGACGAAATGTGCCTGGACCAGGCCCAGGCCACAGACCTTCAGTGGACAGCCTCTGGTCTGTCTTGGCTGGAGAGGAGCCACAGGGTTCTCCCCTACCATTCTCTCTTCTGCTTCTCCAAAGGCAAATTTGACGACTCCCTCATAAGACATCAGATCAAGTACCTGGGGCTGATGGAGCACCTGCGGGTGAGACGCGCCGGCTTCGCGTACCGGAGGAAACACGAGCACTTCTTGCAAAGGTGCGTGTGCTTTGCTGGGCTGGAGCCAAGCAAGTCACCCGCATGGGACGTGTGGGTCTCTGGGATGTGGTGACAGATAAAATGGTGTCCCTTAGGGAACTCAGCTCGGTGCTCAGCTGCCATAGTTGTGATAGCAAAAAACATGAACGTTTCAGCTGGGCGCAGTGGCTCACACCTGTCATCCCAGTCCTTTGGGAGGCCGAGGCGAGAGGATTGTCTGAGCCCAAGGGTTCGAGACCCACCTGGGCTGCTTGGCGAGACCTCATCTCTAACAGTTAATCAAAAAATGAGCCAGGAGTGGTGGTGTGCTCCTGCCGTTGCAGCTACTTGGAAGGCTGAGGTGGAAGGATGGCTGTGGTAGGTGTGAGCATGCCACTGGACTCCAGCCTGGGCAACAGAATGAGACTCCAACTCAAAAAGGAAAAAAAATTACCATTTCAGACAACATAAAATCCCATCTCAGCTTTCCGTCTTCTATCCATTTCACTAAACCCTAACTTCATTCTTACAACCAAGGGAGGGCAAGGCTGAGTGATAGACTGCCACCAGGGGGCACGCGTGAGCAGAGCCCCCGGGGCTGGGGTCGGGGGCAGGGAGGGTCTGTTTCCATCTGTGACCATCTGTAGTGGTTTAGTGCCTTAGCCTCTTGGAGAGGTAAGTTTGGCCGGGTGTGGTAGCTCGCGCCTCTGATCCCAGCTGCTTGGGAGGGTGAGGCTGGAGGATAACTTGAGGTCAAGAGTTTGAGGCCAATCTAGGCAACCTAGTGAGACCCCCATCTCAAAATGTTAAAAAAAAAGAGCCCTGGCCCTGGGGTTAGTGGTGGCGACACTGGCTGAGGAGCCACACAGAGGCGGTCAGATACTCATTCTGTCTCTTACAGCCATGCTGCTTCCTCATCTGTTAGGTGAGGGCTGAGTTGTCCGTGCTCAGGGGTTCATAAGGTTTAATGATACACTCCCACCCCACCCCAACCCCAAATTACGTATACTCCAGCACTTCTTTGGTGATGAGCTGTATGTGAATTCTGCTACTGAAAGAGCAACACGCTTTCAAGATAAGCATAATAAAGCGGTCATTTTGATGGGTCCAAATGGTTGAGTATCAACAACTTTCTAAGGTTCAGCCTAATTGGAGGCGTTTTTACATTTAATCCTTTGAGGAATTGCGAGCATTTGTGTTTATTTTTTCTGGATGTGCCTCCTTTGCTCACCATTTCTGCCACTCATTCACCCTCGTCCCCCCCACTTTTCTGAATCTGACTTGTGCTGCAGGTCACGGAGCAACAGCCACTGCCCACTTTGCTCCCCACAACACACACTTGGCACGTCCATCTTGCTGCATGTTCTTGCACTTCATCCATCATGTTTCTGCTGTTACTGATGCCTGAGGCCCATTGGTTCTTTCCATAGTGCTAGCGAGCGGCTACCCAGTCAGCACTGCGTTAAGTGCTGGGGTGACCGTGGAGAACAGGGCAGGCAGGCCTCATCCCTCATGGAGTTTACTTTCCAGAGAGGATCTGTCGCTAGCAAAGGTTGGCCCTCCGTATTCACGGGCTCCACGTCTGCAGGGCCAACCAACCATGCATCAAGAATATTCAGAAAAAAATCACAACAAGAAGTCATACAAATAAGACAAGACAGTGTCACAACTATTGACACAGCATTTACTTTGTGTGAGGTATCATAAGTAAGCAAGAGGTGATTTAAAGTATACGGGAGGATGTGCACAGGTTAGATGCAAATACCACACCATTTTATATCGGGGACTTGAGCATCTGAGGATTTTGGTGTCCACGGGGGTCCTAGAGCCAACCCCCTAAGGAGACTGAGGGACGACAACTGTGTAGGGCCAGGCAGAGAAGCGTTCTTTCAAGAAGAATGAGTCTGGGTAAAGGGAGAGTGTGGCAGGACTCCCTCATTAAGTAAGAGGGTCCGGGCAGGCCTTGCCTGGAGAGGGAGAGAGCCCTGGGGATATTTGGTGTCCTAGTCCACGTGGGCAGCTGCAACAAAGCATCATAAACCAGGTGGCTTATGAACAATAGACATTTCTCAGAGCTCTGGAGACTGGAAGTCCAAGATCAGGTGTCAGAAGATTTGATATCTGCTCAGGGCCAGCTTCCAGCTTCCTGATTCAGAGATGGCGCTTTCTCGCTGTGCTCTTACACAGTACGTGGGGCAGATGAGCTCCATCAGGCCTCTCTCATAAGGGCAATAACCCCCTTCGTGAGGGCTCCACCCTCGTGACCAATTACCTCCCATAGGCCCTCCCTCCTAATGCCATCACATTGGGGGTTTGATTTCAATGTATAGTATATCAAAGCATTCAGGGAACATCAACCCAGGCAGGAAAGCTCAGAGGTGGGAAGTTGGGAGACTCGAGGATGAGCTGAGAGGCCAGTGTGGCAGCAGGCCAGTGACCAGGGATACAGAAGCAGGGGAGGTCCACAGGACTGGGCTGGAGATGTCCAAACCATGCGCCCACCCAGCCCTGCTTGCCTTGGTCAGGGCGAGATGCGTCTCCGAGCTGGGAAGGACAGAGGCGGTCGGTTGTCCCTCTTGCCTGCAGGTGTCAGGGCATCTCCCCACTGCTCCATGTCTGTCTAGCTGGGCAGGGTGTGCAGGCATTGGGTGAGGGCCAGGTGGGTGGAAGCAGGGCCCAGGGCCTCATGGCACTCATGGGGGAGGATGCCCACGTTCTCCAGTTTTCTTGGGAGTTCCCGGGGCTGCTTCTTAGCACCCATCTTGCACCTTTGTGTTTCTGGCTGAACCGAGAGAGGTAATCAAGGAAGCACATGGGACACCCAATGCCCTCAAAGGACCTGCTTATAAACTGTAACTCCAGGAAAATTTTAAAATGTTTTTAACGGTTTAAATATTTGATTTTAGGCCAGGCGCAGTGGCTCACGCCTGTCATCCCTGCACTTTGGGAGGCCAAGGTGGGAGAATCACTTGAGTCCAAGAGTTCCAGACCAGCCTGGGCAACATAGTGAGACCTTACCTCTACAAAAAGTCAAAGAATTAGCCAGGCATGGTGGCACGTGCCTGACTGCCTGAGCCCAGGAGGTTGAGGCTGTGGTGAGCTGTGATCATGCCAAGACAACAGTGTGAGACCCTGACTCAAAAAAAGTAAATGATACAAATTGGATTTGAAAATAAACACATGAAGCAAGAAAGCATGATGGGAATGCCACAGCTAATACTAACTGCATCTTGGACTGCACCAGATGCTTTGTGTGTAGTGCCTTGCTTAAACCTTGTGTCTGCCTATGAGGACAGGCCTGCTTTTGTTCACGCTGCACAGGTGAGCAGGTGAAGTGGCTTGTGCAGCTCCTGAGCTGGGCTCGAACCCAGGCAGTCGGATTCCAGCTGAGCTTCCTTGCTCAGCTAGAATGCCACTGCATTCCAGCCTGGGCAACAGAGTGAGACCTTGACTCAAAAACAGCCAATAATAGAAATTGGCTCCCTCGCTGTGTTGCTTCCAGCCTCGGTCCACGGGCACGTCTGAATTCTGTGCTCACTTATCCTTTGTGTTACAGATGTCACGGCTGTCTTTTTAGTGACTGTGTTTCAGAAGGGAGCGCATGCTGGAATCAGCTTCCTGAGTCAGCATTGGAACCAAAATCACCCTTGAAAAAAATTCCTTGTCCCTTCCAAAGAGCGGACCCGCTTCTCCTGGTGCTGGGCCACATCAGAGTGTCCAGGGATGGACATGTGGGCTGTTTCCACCGTTTGGCTATTGGGAATAATAATGCTGCTGTGACTGTTCATGTACAAGCTTTTGTGTGGAGACGTTTTCCTTCCTTTTTTTTAAAAGCAGGATTCATTGAGAGAACAGAAAAACTCCATCCACAGTGAAAGGAGACCCAAGGGGGCTGCCCGACACAAGTTTTCATTTCTCTTAGGTAGATACCCAGGAGTGGATCACTTGGGGCAAGTCACTTGGGTCAGGTGGCTGATCCTGTCCTTGTTCTATGAAGACAAGCCAGACCGCCCACGCTATTGAGACAGCTTCTCTCTTCTTTCTTTCTTGCCAAGCATGTATCTTTAAATTCGAGAATGTTCATGTGATGAGACTATGACATATGCTGGGCGGCTGATTTGCACAGCAGAGCTCAGCAGACCTCTGGAGTCTGGGCCAGGGGGAGGACCAGAGTGAGGTGCCACCTCACCCTTTTTTTTTTTGAATTGGAGCCTCACTCCGTCACCCAGACTGGAGTACAGTGGCATGCTCCTGGCCACCTCAGCCTCAACCTGCTGCGCTCTGGCGATCCTTCCGCCTCAGCCTTCCGAGTAGCTGGAACTACAGGCGCGCACTACCACGCCCAGCTAATTTTTTATTTATTGTAGAGACAAGGTCTCACCAAGTTGTTCAGGTGGGTCTCGAACCCGCAGGCTCAGGCAATCCACTCGCCTCGGCCTCCCAAAGTGCTGGGACGACAGGCTGAGCCACTGAGCCCAGCCACCTCAGCTTTTTAACGTCCCTCTCCTCTCCCGGAAGGTACAAGTCCCTGTGCCCAGACACCTGGCCGCATTGGCATGGGCCTCCAGCAGAGGGCGTGGAACGGCTGATCAAGTACATTGGCTACAGACCGGAGGAGTACAAGCTAGGGAAGTAAGTGCCCGGGGACCGAGGTGTGGTGTCCAAGTGTCATGCATTGATCAGTATCCGCCTCTAGTCTGGTGACCCATTTACGTGTTTATTTGTGTAGATGTATGTAGCATGCAGGTAGAAGCTTCTGTCTGCTCAGTTGAAAGCTGGTCTTCACAGTTAGAAGGGTGACAGTGGAGCCTGTGGGAGGCGCAACGTTATCAGAGAGCCCCGTGTCCTAACTCTGACGCAGAGATGGGCCTCCTTGCTCCCAGAACGAAGAGGGGACCCAGGTGGGCTGCCTGACCTCTGTGTGCCTGGAGTCCGTCCTTGTTCACGTGTGTGCGTGGCCTGTCAGAGGTGAGACGAGGACCTAGGTAATGTGAAACCCTCTTTGGCAAAGTGGACATTCCAGAACTCTGGGTATGGTGACTACGGAGTCGTCGCTGTCCACGAGCAAAGAACTCTCCTAGGCGTCGAAAGCTTTCAGGCACAACTCAGTGAGATGCCTCAGGGCCATCTGAGTCTGTCCTGTTAGTCGTTTTAGCCCAGGTTAATGTGGTTTCAAGGAAAAGCACCCACGCAAGAAGAGGATTCATTCCCGGACTGCAGAGCTTCTGCGCTTCAGGGGTCTCTGCCTTCAAATTGATCCATGGGATGCTCCTGGCAAAGTCTCACTCCCACGTGTCGTGGCCATTGGTGGCCACCCTGACCTCTCTCCATCTTTAGGCTCCTATTCTGAGCCCGTTCCAAGAATCAGTTCTTTATTCAGTCCAGATCCCTGAGGGGAATCAGGCTCAGTACATCCAGAGGGAGGTCAGAGGTGGGATCTGTCTGTCCTCAGTTCCATAGCTTGGACGGGAAAGGGAAACCGTGTGGCACAACGCACTGCTGCCTCCCGGCGCCTGCCCTGGTAACCTTTCCTTAAGTGGGTACATCGGTGGGGCAGGCTGGCCGAGGTCGGCATGTGTAACTTACCTCTGCTGGTGAGGGAGATCTTCTTTGAAACTGAAATCCATATTCTTTGCTCACTTTTTTTTTTGAGATGGAGCCTCACTCTGTTGCCCAGACTGGAGTGCAGTGGCCGCTCCTGGCCACCGCAGCCTCGACCTGCTGGGCTCAGGCGGTCCTTCTGCCTCAGCCTTCTAAGTAACTGGAACTACAGGCGCGTGCTACCATGCCCAGCTAATTTTTGATTTTATTATAGAGATGAGGTCTTGCCAAGTTGCCCAGGCGAGTCTCAAACCCGCGGGCTCAGGCAGTCCAGTCACCCCAGTCTCCCAAAGTTACAGGCTGAGTCACCGAGTTCGGCTTTGGCTCACTCTTTCAAGCCCTGGAACATAACTGGAAGCAACTTCAGGATGGTGTGTTCGTTTCCTAGGGCTACATGACGAATTACCACAGGCTGATTGGCTTAAAACAAGGGAAACAGATTCTCTCCTAGGTCCGGAGGACGGAAGCCTCAAACCTAGGAGTCGGCAGGCCCAGGCTCCTTTTGGAGCCTCTGCAGGGGGCTCCCTCCTTCCTCCTCCAGCTTCTGATGATTCCTGGCCTTCTTGGGCTGCCGCTGGATCACTGCAGCCTCTGCCCCCATCTCCACCTGGCCTTCTTCCCTGTGTCCTTCTGCATGTCCTTTTTTGTCCCATAAGGACACGCAATGAATTTGGGGCCTTCCTAATCCAGTATGATCTCATCTCCATCCTTACCTTAATAGCATCTGCAAATACTCTTATTTCCAAATAAGACCGTATTCTGAGGTTCTGAGTGGACATGAATCTAGGGTGGGCTACTCAAACCACTGCAGATGCTAACTGACCAATTAATAATTAAAATATCTCTTTTCACTTCTAGAACCAAAATATTCATTCGTTTTCCCAAAACCCTGTTTGCCACCGAAGATGCCTTTGAATTTAGTAAACATCAATTAGGTATGATTTTTCTGCCCTGATTTCAATGGAATGAGAAATGAATAAGTTGAGCTTGGGGACACATCTTAACCATGAGTGTTTAACATAATACTGAAGGCATTCGCTTAGGAAACCAGAAACAAGATATAGGGTTATGATTTTTAAAAAACCATGTGAATCTGTGTCTCAACAAGGGCTTGGAGGGCAGTCCCAGATGCAGGCAGAAATGTAAACATTGTAGTGCCGTCTCAGCTCTAGTTCAGATCTGATGCCCTGCTATACCCATTGGGACCCAAACCCATGGGAGACCATAGCCCTCTCAGTAAGGTTTTAAAACCTTCATTTGTGCAGGTGTCCAACGTTGCAAGGTGTAGCTTCAGAGCTGCAGCCAGGGTGTTGTACGTGGTCAGTGAGACAAGTTAGATGAGGGAGGGGAGCAATGCAGAAACTTAAAAATCAAGTCTACTGGGGGAGGGGAGGCCCTATGATTATCATCTCTGCTGTCAGCCCTTTATGCTGTGACTGCTTTATTCTCAGACCAAACCTATGAGGCCAGTATTATCATCTCTGCTGCAAATTCAGAAAAACTGAGGCACAGAGATGTTGATAACATGCTGAAGGCCACATAGCCAGTATCCGTAATCCCAGCACTTTGGGAAGCTGGGGTTTGAACACAGGTCTGTCTGGCTTTGAGGCTTGGCGGTCTCTTTTTCCTGTTTTTGTTTTTTTTTTTAAGTTGGAGTCTCACTCTGTCGCCCAGACTGGAGGGCAGTGGCCGCTCCCGGCCACCACAGCCCCGACCTGCTGGGCTCCAGCAATCCTTCCACCTCAGCCTCCCAAG